CTTGATTAGGATATATTTTTTTTCATCTTTAAATTTTACACACTGGTCTGCAAACTTAAAAATCCGGTTATATTTCTTCCCTTTTAAAAACCCGTTGCTGACCCATCATTGTCTACAGGACAAAGCCCAGGCTCTAGGCATCCCTAACTCAGATTTGCCTTTCTCTGCAGCCTCGTCCCCATCTCTACTACTGCCTGCTTCCCTTTTCTTCCTCCACCTCCAGCTGACAAGCTCTTTGTAGTCGCCCTTCAAATTCTAGGTAAATTTTTTGCTCTAGGAAGATTTAAAAATTTTTTTCCAGCTTTATTGAGATATAATTTACAAATAACATGTGTAAGTTTAAGGTATACAATGTGAATATTTGATATATGTATATATTATGAAATGGTTACCACTATAAGGTTAACTAACATATCTATTACCTCACATAGTTACCATTAGTTTTTTTTAATTTAATTTAATTTTTTTATACAGCAGGTTCTTATTAGTTATCTATTTTATACATATTAGTGTATATATGTCAATCCCAATCTCCCAATTCATCCCCATCCCCATGGTTACTATTTGTGTGTGTGTGTGGTGAGAACATTTATGACCTACTGTCTTAGTAAATTTCAAGTATACTATACAGTGTTGTTAACTATAGTGCACATACTGTACATCAGATCCCCTAATTTTATTCATTTTATAACAGAAAGTTTATATTCTTTGACAAACATCTCCCCATTTCCCCCACACCCCAGCCTCTGGCAACCAATCTACTCTGTTTCTTTGTGTTTGACATTTTTAGAATCTGTATATAAATAAGATCATACAGTATTTGTCTTTCTTTGTCTAACTTATTTCACTTAGTCTAATGCCCTCGAAGTTCATCCTCAACCATGTTGTTGCAAATTGCAGGAATTTTCTAGGAAGATTTTTGTAACACCATCTGCTTTTCCTCATTCATGCCCATACAATTAATTACTCTCCTTTGTAATACTACTAAAGCTTGTACTTTCATTTTCACTTTAGTCTTATTGTATTGTAATTACTTTTTATTGTGATAAAAGGTATATAATATAAAATTTACCATTTTAACCATTTTAATTGTACAGCTAAGAGGCAATAATTACGTTCACATTGTTATGCAACCATCACTGCCATTCAACTTCAGAAATTTTCACATCTTCCCAAACTGAAATTCTGTATCCTTTAAATAATAACTCCTTATTATAGTTACTTTTTACCATGTTTATCTTCCATAACAGACTTGAGAGAATTGTTGCTTTATTAATATCTTAGTTTATCAATATATTTATACCCAGTACTTAATGCAATGACTGACAAACAGAAAATGCTCAATAAATGTCTGTTTAATTGATGCATCATTATCAAAATCACATATCAGATGACTATGTCAGCTAGCCATATCAGATTGTCAACTTTCCATCTCTACTCCACCCAACCCCACAGTTCACAAAAAGAAAAAAAAAAGAACATACTTTCAGTGGATTTCACTTTACCAAAACCAAAACCAAAACCAAAAAACAAAACACTACAAAACAAAAACAAAACTACACCTTCAGAGCTTTCTCATTTCATAAAGTATAAATTCCAAATTCTGAGCATGGCATTCAGGGTTCTCTAGGATCTGCATCCTGTCAACTCTCTACACTCCTATATCTTTTCATACCCTAATTCTTACCAATACAATATCATCCATTATCCCTAAAACAGGCAATTTTAGGTTTCCTTAATCATACTGTTTGCTCAGCTTGAAATGTTTCTCCACAGTTTTGAAGCCAAATCATTGTTTTCCTTCAAGGGTGAAGCCTTCTTTGATACTTTGGTTTAGAATGAATGCCTTTCTCTCTGCTCTTTTGCACTTTGTTTGGGTCTCTATTTTATATTAATTTAGTTCTGTACTAAATTACATCTTACTTATATGTTTATATGTTTGTCTCCATCACTGGAGTGCAAATTATATAAACATTTGCATAATGCTTTATTAATTATTTTATTTTTTTCTATTTCTTCCTGTCAGGAACTCACAGAATTTTCTGCACATAGTAGTTGCTCGATAATTATATTTTGAAATAACAAACAACTTAATTTAATAATATGATCAGTGTATTGCTGTTTATTGAGCATGCCTCAGGTTGTTCAAACTATCTATTAAGGGGATAGCCAAGGAATAATGTGAAAACACCAGGTAGAATGAACTCTATACAATGCAATCTGACAAATATATATTGATCACAAGGTTTATATCACTGTACTGAGTGAAATAAGCACAAATGAGCAAGACATAGCCCTCTTTCTCAGGGAACTAGGCTTAGACAGGTATATAATTAACTCTAATACTTGTTGAACAGTCATAATAAATGCTGAAGCAATGAGATTAAGCAATTTAAACTAAGAAGCAATGACTGTTGGCAAGAAATCATAAAAGATTTCATTAAAAAGGTGATGTCTGAACTTGAGTTTAAATGGGAAAGTATGATTTCAGTGGGTGAATTGGGGTTGTGGAGACATTCCAAGAGAGACATTAGCATAAGTAAGATTTAGAGTCAGGAAGAATGTTGGCTGCTTTCAAAAACAGTGAATACTATAACTTAACAAGAACTTAGAATGACTCAGAGTAGTAGGGGTAATAGGAATTAAGGGTGATTTTTAGGTTAGGACCACTGAAGAGGTGCTCAATAGTATATTACAGGTCTAGTAGTAGATACCATTATATTTTAACATATATAAATATGTAAATTATATTATTATGTTAGTAGTATATTAATATGGCATATGTTACATTATATTACATGTCTGAAAATATTATGAAAAATAATCAATATGATTGGAGCTTTGCTTAGCTGTTTTAACCCTGAAGAATTATATAGCAGAAAACATACTGTAATATCCCAGTTGAGAATAATGAAGATCTGAACTACATTAGTTTTAATGTATATAGAAAAAGCTGAGAGTAAATGGATGTAGGGTAGACTGTGGACATAGTTAAATGTATGGATTGGAATCACCTGAATACATAGAGCTAAGATAAATTCAAAGATAACCACATTTTCAAGTAGGAGAGAACAGTGGTACATTAAGAGAAATAATCTCTCTGGGCTCAGTTGTAAAACAATAGTAGTACCTAACTTCCAGTATCATTTTGCTGATATATGTGCACTTAGACTAGAGCCTAGAGATTTAAAGCACTCGGTAAATATTAGCTATCATTATTATTAATTTATCAATATAATAATCTAATATGGAAAATGGCATCTGACTCTAAAATATCTTTATTATTTCATTTCTTTATAAGCATAATGAAAATTTATTAAAAAAATCAAACACTACAGAAATATATAGTACATATTTGCAAACACCAAAGACAACTAATAATAACAGTTTGGTATTTATATCCAAAATTTATTTTTCCTAGTCCTATAATAATGTGTTATTATTACTTGTAATTGTGGAAAATTGGGAGCATTCTCTGCAACTTCTTCCTTTGTGTATAGTAGAACATTTTGGATCTTTTCAGAACAGAACACATAGTTATCTCATATTCTTTTTAAGAAGACTGATTATTTCACTGCATTAATGTACCATAGAGAACCTAAGGGGACACAAGGAAAAATTAAGTGGAGATCCAGGCCCATTAGCACATACGGTGCCTTTGTGTAAACTAGAAAAATTGGTCCCTATAAGTGGTTACAGTCCCTTTAGTGCATGTCTTCATTATCAGACCCTAAACTGGTTTTTAATCCTTGATTAACCCCTGCTGAACACGTGTGTCAGAGAACAATTTATACAAACATTAGCAAAGCAAAGTCCTGTGGAGATGCCAAACCAATGTTTACAATCTTTTGTGGAGCTCAGAAAAGAGCATGGACTTTGAGCTATAGATTTGGTTTCTTTTTCACCAGAGTCATCATTGAAACCTCGGATGGATGAGAAATGGATGAAGTCTTCATGGAAGAGATTATATAAAGAAAAGTGTTAAAGGGTGATAACTCCAAAACCATCTGTGAGAATGGGAAATTCATTGCTAAGTTTAAATTGTTGAACCTAGGACAAACAAAAGCCTATAGAAGCTCATTTAATTGGCCTAGCTTATTTAAAAAAACTAGGGAGTTTGTACCAACAAGATTTTTAGCATGGTTGAAAATGTGTATTTGTTTATGTGTGAAATGTAAATGTAAATATTACTTTGTTAAGAATCTCTTGGTAAGACTTATAATTAATGACACGGGCCTCCCACTTTCTTAATTATTTAAAAGTAGGAAGTTATTACTAAATAGTTTTAGTAACAATAATACCCCCATTTGCATTCCTGGAATAAACTCCTGAAAAAGGTAGCCTTGTAAATTATCTGAGAGAGGGAGAGAGAGACAGAGGCAGAGAGACAGAGAGAGAGAGATGGGGCTATTTTAATGCCCTATATACATTTAATTTGAGATCTATCTATCTATCACCTATTCACCTATCTATATCTTATCTAATGACGCAAGTTCATTTGTAGACAAATAACCAAAGAAGTAAAATCTTCTAAGGAAAAAACAACTCTTTAAATCCCATGGATGATTATAAAATACTTTCTTAGAGTTATGAATGAGAGCAAAAGAGTGGATTCAATGATGCCACTAAACATGGGAACAATGCTTCATCTGTAACATTTTCTAAATTTAACAGATATTTGACATGTTTTCCAGTTTTGGAGCTGTGTTTTACTTCTCAAAAGGCCCGGCGTTCTGACTGCAGTCTTTCTAAATCCCCACCTCACTAGCTCTCATATCACTAGCTCATGCTAATTCTCCTTTCATCTCTTAATGACAGATCTGAATCACCAGAAATCAGAAAGCATGACTCTGGCAACTAGTTTGAACAGGTCTTGTTCAGTGGCATATACCAAATGTAATTTATTTTTTGTGACAGTTTTAATAAAAGTGACGTGAAACACAAGGGATATAAGGTTAGCGATATTGCACCTCAAAAGAGGAGAAAGTTTGGTATGTTACCTCCTGATTAGCAGCAGCTAGTTCTTCTTCCAGTGCAGAGACTCTTTCTAAAGAAACCCTCAGTCGCTCCCTTACCTAGAAGAAAAACCAAAATATGTGCAGTAATGTACATCCCATACATAGTAAACTGTGCTGAATCCATTAACATTATCAGAGACAGTCACATTTGAAAAAGTATTAAAGTATATATAGCCTTAAGTGCTCAGGAATACTATGACTACATTGTCACCTCATAGTATGACTGTATTAAGGGATTTTCTTGTAAGCAAGTCCTTCTAGTGTTTCGTGACAGAGTTTACAATGGGGTTGAAGATCAACCCCTCTTGTTCTGAATTCTGATTCATAGTAAGTGGAGGCAAAGTTCAAAAGTTTATTATGAATTCATCTGAAAAACAGTCAATGATTAAGCATAAGATATAGGCAAAAGACTTTCTACTTCTTTAAAATAATAACTATGTTTTCCTTTGACATTTAGTACAAAATAATTTGTCTAAAAGCAAAGGATTCTTAGAAGCTGAAAAATGTTGTCCATTGCTCATGAAATTAATTTTGTATTAGTTAGAGGTCTACATTGTTATTGAGGGATTGGAAAGTATATATCTACTCTGGAATTCCTAAATACTTTTCAGATACCAAAGGTTAAACCATTATATTTTATAGAACCAAAGACTGCACATTTGGTTTGAAAGTAATGATTTCCAAATGTTTCATACACAAATGAAACTCAGAGAAGTGTTTCTTTGATCCTTGCTTTCTTAGAACTTCTAAAATTGTTTTAGTTATTATATGTTCAGATCTATAGGTATGCTCCATATCAAATTTGTCAAAAGTAGAGAAGTTCAGAGAAAGAAATTTGGTTAAACTAAAATAAATGACTACAGCAATTTAATTTTCCTTAAAAAAAAAAAAACAAAGTTTATAGCTTCAATTCAATATGGAATTCATGGTGAGTTTTAGATTATTTATGAATTAACATTGATTTATCATGGGGATATAACAGTGTGCATTTTAATTATAGAAATAAATTATTTAAATGAACATTCATTTTAGTAATTTATTAATGGTATATTTTAATTAATGGTCTTTTTCTTTTTTTAGCAAGATTTAACTGGGAATATAAATACATAAAATATCTAAAAACCTAGATACATAGTAATTTTAAAATTGAAGTTACAAAATTATTTTCTAGTTAGCAAAAAAACAAGTGATATCCTATGAATCTAGAATCTAATTAGAAATTTTAAAAAATCTCAATTATTTTAGTAATGTATAATGATAACTGAAATATATTCAGGTGACTGGGTGCACTTAACTCCTGAAATACATCTTGAATAAGAAAGAATTAATGCCTGACTGGAATTTTAATATTAATTATACTTAGTTAGGTTCAAATTCTCTGAGAATTAGTAATACATATATAAATGGACATTTCATATCAAAGATAATCACAGAGGATCCTTCATGATATTTAAGTATGCCAGATGGGCTGCCAGGTACCAGTGCTGTTAGACAAATATCCAATTGTTCATAAAAATGCATAAAACTAATGCTGATTCATAACTGAACAAGAGCTTCTTAGAAGGAAATCTTTAATGATTTGACTTGGGGAATACTTCTTTCATGAGTGCTTGGATAGATGCAAACAAAGCAAACATCCCAAAGGCATGAAAATGAGGAGGATTGCTGATATGTGGAATGCAGATATCAACAAATATCTTAGTAGATGTCCTTGTTATTTAATAGAGATGATTGTAAAGTTTTATGTCCACTTCCTAAAATAGCAGCTATAAAATATGGGTATTCTGATAAAAATCTAAGAATCCTAGTTGATGAGAAAAGCAATATGAAACAGTCTAAATATAAATTAATCTCAACATATGCAACATAATCAGATCACATTTAGACTGCAGTAAAGAGGTTAAGGCACTATATTTAAAGACATACTGATGCATTGGGATGTTCCTAAAAGAGTCATGCAAGCCACATAAGGAGCAGTTGAAACCAGGCTATACTGAGGGTTAAATGTCTTCCTTTCTTTGTTAAACTGAAAATCACAGAAACTGTTCCAAACTGTTTCAAATTTACCACAAGTTAAGCATGTATATTCTTATTATATTGAGCCTTCGAGCAGTAAAAATTATCAAGCTTTTCAAACAATATGAAAAATCACCCCTCAATACATTTATAACAGCATTTGCAACTTGAAATTATATTATATACAAAGTAATGAACCTAAAACTCTCTTCACAAGAAAATAAAAACAACTGCTGAATATATTTTGAATTCATGTTATAAAGGTAAAAATTGATGTTCCAAATATTAATACATTTATGATATGAATGCTTTATTCACATTTATATGAGAATGAAGTATTCTCTCTGTATTTATTTCTTGGGTAAGACTCAAATGAATGAAACATATTTGCTTCCTCTTGCACTAATCTCTGCTAAACTTGGCAAAGGAAAAACAAAGGGAGGATCCAAAGGAGTAACCTTTCTAGAGTATAAAGGAATCTAACGTTTTATCTTGTCTATATAACTGGAATTCCACCGGTAAGAAAAAATAGTATTTCTGACAAGGCTTGCAGCTTTTTGCACTGCTCTGAGCACAGCACCAGCAGAATGCCATAATATCCTTATTTTTCTTGTTGAATTTGGTGTTCTTTTGAAGTTATCTAGACAAGAAAAAACTATAGTTTTAATTTTTTCCTAAACATAAGTACACAGTTGATGGTCTTGGCTATATACTTTACTTTTTCTAGTTTTTTGCTATTCAATTACATTCAATTAATCTATTGTCCACATAGTCTTTAAGATATATTGATTGCTTATTTATAGAGCTATAGTATAACCTCCCAAATATATTTATGTACATCTAGAATTTTTGATTTCTAATTTCATGTTACATTTATTTTCTTCATAGTGGTATGAAAAAATAATTAAAGAGAAAAACATTTTCCCCAAAAAAAGATGTTTCAGGAGAAATGTTATCCCTGAGGATTAAAATAAGTCCCTAAGAATGACGAGTATGTTGCAGGATAAAGGACTTGGGTGGAAGAGCATACATTTCAAATTTAAATTAAGGTATGGCAGGGGTTTATTTTGGAATTATCAATCCTGCAACAGAAAGCATCGTGAGGGAATCTTAGACCAGACGTTCAAATCCAGTTTGGGCACTGTGATATTAGATCACAGGAATATATGTGGAGTGTATGTAACATGTGTTTTGGTTACATTTCCCATGCATACCCAGTATATCTTTTTTAAAAATACTCAGTGATATCTGAGTGATTGAAAAACACATGTATACTTCTCATTTCCTCCAGTCCACAGAATTGGTAAACATGTTGGAGACTTATGTCAAAATCACTGCTGGTCTTAGATAATTGTGTAAATTCTACCCTACAACTCAGTGGATATGTAAATAAGGACATCAATAATGAACACTGCCAGTCATTGTAACTGTCCACAGCTATGCTCAATCTTTTGTATTTTATTTATCTCTTCCTGTGTTCTAAACCTTCTGTGGTAAAGTTGGTAGTTTCTTGCCCTCGATATGATTAATTGCATCTTCTTCTGATATTCCACATATGTTTTAACATAATATCCATAGCACTTAAAATAGAATATTGTAATTACTTGTTCATATGTCTGTCTCCTTACCTCTCCTGATCTACACAAGAAGCTGTGAGCTATTCTTAGGGGAATTGTTTATGAAGGTGCTTAGGCACATATTAACCCCTTAATAACTAAATGAAATGTTAATTTAAGCATGTGAATCAACAGTGATACCAATATCTTCACTTAGTTTGAAATTTTTGTCAAATGCTGAAATTTATCATTAACAATAACATTCATTAACATTTACTGAGCATTTGCCATATGCTAAGTACTGGCTAGGAGCTTTGCATGTCAGACAATGCTATTAGGTAGGTATTAATATTATTCTCTTCATTCAAAAGAAGAGAAAACAGACTAAGAGAAAATTAAGGTACTTGTCCAAGTCTGTCTAACTCCAAAGCCCAAGATCATAATATTTTTCCTTCAGGCTGTTAGGTATTACTTAGTTGATAATCAGTTCTGTTGCCCCGAACTCACCAATGTCCAGGGCACATTTGGTGAGTTACTAAACCCTATTACAATTCCTGGGGTCACAGTATGAAATACTTCATTTAGTTATGCTAAGTTCACTGAACATCTATATACTAAATTACTTTTAGATCCTAAATTGTACTACAACCATTTTCTTCTTAAATGTACTCACACCTATTAGGTTATTTGTCCTAAATGCTGTTTATTGCCTTCTATTCATTTTTTCATAAAAGCATCCCTCACCTAGGTGATGTGGGAGCACATCTAGGGGACATCTCAAATCACTCATTCTCAAGTCCCTCATTCAAGTCACTCAAAACTGTTAAGTTTTCTCTGAACAGGCCATGTTCTTTTCAAAGTTCTGGGTTAGTTCACATATTGATCATATTGCTTACAGTATGTTTACTTCTCTGCTTAAAAAGTCCTTACGCAGTCTAATACCCAGACCAAATTTCACCTCCTCTGTGAAGACATTCTTGACTTTCTCATCACTTCTTCAGGAAAAATTAGTCACAATTTTTCCTGTGACTCCATATCACATCGTATATATCTCTTCTTACCACTCCCTCTTATTGACATGTGAACTCCAGAACTATGAACTCCTCATTTGTAAAGAAAATGTCTTATTTATCTTTGTGTGCTAAATATATGCCAAGGAGTAAGACACATAATACATACTCTATAAATTTAAAGTCTTACAAATTCTTAATAATGCAGTTTTGTAATAAGAAATGAAATATAATAGGAAAGTAAACATTAAATATATTAAATTATTATTTGACATTTGATATTAGTTGATATTATATTCATCAGGGGTTTTTATACAATATCCATTTCTGTTTTACTCAAAATTATTCATAAACTATTTGCCTCTCATACTAAAATTAAAAATAAGATACAATTTCTTCTTAATAATCTAGAAGACAGAATTATAGATATGCTATGCACATACTCCACATAAATCCCCTGCTGTAAGAACATCTGAAAGACTGATGATAAAAATATATATGTATATAAATATTAAATAGAGCAAAAAGTGTCTGTATGCTCAAAACCTATATATAGCTGAGTAATAATCCTTAGTTTGGATTTTAATGCTCAGAACTTGTCAGATACTTTACAATGAAGTGCCCCAATTCCCACTGTACAAAATCCTAAAGGCTTATTAATTTTAAAAAATTCATTCTTTGAAATTTTACAGAATTGAAATGATGTCATAAGCCTTACTAATATCCAAAGAATATTATCATTGTATTGGCTTATTAATGTCCATAGAGCTTATTTGAGTAACAGCTAAGAGAAACTTACAGTTACTTTAAAAAAGACCTAAAGCAGATTTTTCTACTAATACTTTATGCTGTTACCCGCAGAAACTCTTAAAACTGTGTGTTCAGAACTAAGATATTAGAAACCCCCAAAATAAAACTGTATGCTTCTAATATGATTCTCTAAAGGTTAAAGTATTTCCAATTTACACTTCAAGATACGTTTTATTGTCAGTTAATAGTCTCCTATGTTGGCATCTATAGCCACGCACTTCAGAGGGGTTACGGAGGATAGAGACTGTGGGGTGGGGAGAGAATGAGAGAGAGAGGGAGAAACAGAAAGGTTAAATGACAATATTAAATTTCAAATGGCCATCTGGACTAGGACTCTCATGTGCCGTAATAGAAGTCTTGATAAACCATAGATTCAGACGTATTAAAAAAAGAAAATGTTATGAATAATATAATGAATGATGAATAATGAATGAATAATGAATAATACCAATATACATGTAATAGTCAGGGTGCGTTTTTTTTTTTTAGTGATTTTTCCTGTAGTTCAAACGTGTTCCTCTGAACTGACTGACTTCAGCAGCCAGTAAGAGTCATGGATGAAGACAAGGAGCTTGATGCTGATGACAAAAGCACAGTTAAGCCTGAAATCTTTTGTCAATACTATACCCTTTTTCCAGTAGTTTTTTAAAAAAAATTCAGCTTTATTGAAGTATAATTGACATAAAATTGTAACAATCCTTTCACAATACTATACCTTTTCATCCAAGGCCTTGTGGTGCTCAAATAAAGATTTCAGCGCCTTGAGAACCTCAACTTCGCTGGACACTCCCGAGGGGGACTGGGCTTGTCGCTTCACCACCGTCATTCTTAGTGACCTTTCATGTCGTGACACAAGGCACTCCAAATGCTCCAGTAACAGCTATTGGGTTTAACAGAAAATGTAATTATCTTATGGATACAAGTCACTAATACATACAGATGATTTCCATTTTAGTAGATTTCAGATTTATATAGTATCTAATGATAACCTCAGATTATACTACAGATAGCATCAATGAAGCACAAATCTGAGTTCATAAACCAGGGTTCATAAAGTATATTAAAAGTAAATTGCATTTCTATCAAGTAACAATTTACTGAATTTAAAATATAATGTGAATTATATGCATTCTTTTAGAAGATTTAATAATTTCAGTTTAAATTGAGGAGAACTGGAACACACCATAATATGATCCAATAGGATAATGACTGAAGAACATTGAACAAAGCATGATGATTTTGTTAGAGAACAGAACTGAAAGTCAAAATTAATTTCACTTATATATGATCATTTAAATTTGAAGGAAATGAGTATAATCACCATGTTGCTTTAAATGTGATTATAGTTATAATCATAGGTTGTTATAGCAATTATAGTGGTAACACTAATGATTTTATTCACAATTAAATTCTTAGATTACATAATAGAAAAATATATGTAGCCAACTGGAATATGGTAACTGAGACCAGCAATAGTCATTTTGAGAAAAGAGGTTAAAGGACATAATTTTTAAACTGTCTACTCTGGAACCTACATTCACCAGTCAGTGTCTGGTGCCATGATAGAGACTAGGGGAAAGTTCAGTGAACAATGTTTCATTCTGGTTCCAGACTCTATGCTCTAACTCTTCCCAGATAAATTTTGCTTTTAAATGTTCTGTGAATTGGAGTTTCACCTTCATTTTATTTTATAAGTCAGTTCTGCAACTAAAAGCAAAGATATATGAAAAGAAAATTAAAAACTGTTATCAGTTATTAAAATTTCACTAGTGGAGAATAATATATGACTAGTAAGGAGGGGAGATTTTCAGAAGGCTAGTGAAAAGCATAGGCTAACAAATGATGTCTAGGCAAAATAAGCAGGAGTTACTGAAACAATAAAGTAAAAAGCAGATACAAGATACTGAGGTGGAAAGAAGTAAAGAAAAACTATTTTCTTTCAAGATTTTTCCTAAAGCTTATACTGTAAAGGAAATTTTTGTTTTTAACAATGCTACTGTTAATTTTAGTGTCACATATTAGTATCATATTTCTTAGTTCTTTATGAGTTAATTTTGCTATATTCACTGTCACTAATTATGGTTCAATGTGTCAGAAAATTTTGCCTGTTATTAACACAAAAAACCCCACACATATCTGAGATCCTAAAGGTATATAGATCAGTCGGCCAGAGTCATATGTAAGCATCAAAATAATATTAAAAGTTCTTCAATATGAAGATGATACAATTAATATTTTCAAAGAGCTTTTCTTTTATTTACCAATCTCTGATTATATTCATGGTATTCTACTCTCTTGATTTCTATAGATACATGTGTGCATTGATTAAATCCAAGCTGTTTCACATAGGTTATAGAGATTTGCCTATTTCTCCAACTTTATCTGCTGTTAGTCTTTCTCTAGCAAACTCTGCTCTAACCATGCCAGCCTACTTTCAGTTCCTCAGTCTTCCAAGCCTTTGCACGTGCTGTACCCTCTGCCTGAAATACTGTCCTTTGGCTCCTTAGTTGGTCAGCTCTTTCTCACCTTTAAGTCTCAGTTTAAATATCACCCTCTCAATAAAGCATTTGCCCACTACTCTAGGTAAAGCATTTGTAGGTCTCTCTCTTCCAAGTCTTCATAACTCTCTATTTCATTCTCTTGCTTCATTTCTTCATATAATGTAATTTCTTAAAAATAGTTTTACTAAATTTCACTCTATTTCCTCATTGAAATATAAGTTCCATGAGGATAGGCACCATGTCTGTCTTGATCTTTTCTGTATTTGAGTATTGGCTCAGTTCCTGGTATTTATGCATATGTAAAAATATTTATTGAATGAATAGAAAAAAATGATAAATTAGGTAAATTTCCCAGTGTACATTCTGGCCTATATCAAAGTTAAAACTGCAGCCATGGTTAATTGGCATTATTTCCTAAAAGCTTAAGCTAATTAACATGGTTAATATATATATATGTATGTATGTTTTAGGTAGATGATATACTTACAAAGAAACAAGACATAATACAAGAAAACTGGTTTCTCTAACTGTAAATTAGAGATGTCTTCATCTATACAGTAATTTAATAACTATTTGAGCTTCTAATATTGCATGGGAGTAGGTAGGATACAAAATTGTATAAGATATAATCTGTACCCTCTAGGCAAGAAACACAATATGAGTATTATATTGAAGCTATAAAGAACATCTGTTATTGGAGATTATCTAAATCTTTCAATCACACTCTTTACATTTGGCGAGTTTCTCACAATGTTAATCCCACCTTCTCAACATAGAGTGCAAAAAACTACAATTCTCAGTGTTTGGTGCCACAGAGGTTCTATTAATTACACACATGCAAGAAATGAGCGGTATAAATAAGTTATAAGCCATATAAATAAGTTGGTGAAGGTATCTAGTTTGCTCAATGGGAGGTGGAATCATGATTTTGCACAGAAAAGGAGAAAAAAATCTGTTTACCAGCTTTGCAGTGAAGTTCTAAAATTTTTGCCTGAAAGGTTAGGCTACAGACTGTTTTGGGTAAGAATTTCTTAATTACTGTTAAAAACCACTGTCGTCTACTTAAACTAGCTAGAGAGTGAATTCTGTTATATGCAAGTAAGAATGCTATGACAGTACATCAGGTCATACTGACTGCTACCTTTCATTGTAACAGTCATCTGCCATACCCTGGTCATTGTTCCTTGAATGTCTTAGCAACTAGATTATTGTCATTTTTCCAGTGTTACCCCGGTTGTAATTCTTGGTGATTTTTATAACTCATTTAAATATATGAGTGATAACTCATTTAAATATATGAGTGATAACTCATTTAAATATATGAGTGATAACTCATTTAAATATGAGTGATAACTCATTTAAATATGAGTGATAACTCATTTAAATATATGAATTAAAGATGCTGATTTCTCCAGCATATTGGCATCTAAATTTCTAGACTTTGTGTACTCCAATGGTCTCAATTTCCCCCCTATTTCAGTAACTCACAATTATGGTTTCATGATAGATTCTACTGTTATCAATAAATGTGACTAATTTCAGTTTTTATTATACAACTCACAAATCATTAGTTTAGTTCAGTTATTTAAATGCTCAAACTCTAAAAATACTTGCACCTTCAATCTCTTTATCATAGGAATTTATTACTACTTCTCACCATACTCTTGCCTTCACTTTCTTCTTACCCATCTTAAAATTTATAGTTCAGTCTTTAAAATCAATCTTCCATGTTCCTACAACTTCCAGAATCTAACCACTTGCCACTGCACCCACTTGCCACCTGGGCCCAATACCCATTATCTCCCACAAATTATTATAGTAGCTTCTTAACTGGTCCTCCTGCTTTCATCCTTCCATCAGGTTATTCTCAAAACACTATTTAAGTTAAAATGGAAGCTAGGTCATTCATACCTCTGCTCAAATCCTCACGGTCTTCTCATCTGGCTCAAGTAAAAGCCAAAGTCCTTAAAAGTACCAAAGGGATCTCAATTCTCTGAACTCATCTCCTATTCTTCTTGCTCACTCCAGTCTAGCTGATTTGGTTTCCTTGTAGTGTTGTTTTGTTTTGTTTTAACATTATCAGACATCCATGCTATTACATCAGGGCCTTTGTGCTTGCTGTTTTTTTCTGCCTAAAACACTCTCTTTCAGACATATGCATGCCCATCTCATTCCACTGTCTCTTTCGTGGTTTTTGTCAAATCTCACCTTTCAACAAGGCTTTCCCTAGTCACCCTCTGTACGAAATATCTCCTTTCCAGTTTGTTTTTCCCCCTTGGCATTTGTCTATATCTAATTCACTATTTACTTTATACACTTATCTTGTTTAAGTCTGTCTCCCAAAACATAATATAAGGCCCATGAGGAAATGAAGTGTTTTTATTTACTTTTTCCCTATTTTGTCCATTGCTGTATCTCTCAGTGCCTAGAAGATTGGCATAGTAGATGCTTATAAATTTTTGGTCGAATGAATAAATGAACCCTGATTAAAACAGTAGTTTTTAACAGCTATGGCTATAAGTAACAACTCTTCGGACAAATGGGAATATGGGATATCTGACCCAGACAGATTTGACAAAGTAATAAGTAGATTAACGTCAAAAAAGGGGCATTGTCTCCCGTGGTTCATGGATAGCTGCTGAAATGACCACCTGAGTTATCCTGAAATGGGCTGTCTCTGACAGTAAAGCTTTGATGGACTGAGTCATATGTACAAAAGACCATTTTGAAGGGCAGGAAGAATATAAGGACAATGAGGTGAGCTGGGTGCTTTGAGTTGCATTGAAGAGTTTAAAGAAAGAAAATGACAAGCATAAGGTTTTAAATTTTAGGTCAAGGCTCAGAGAACTCAACAGTTGCTATGGCTGCTCATAACAGCCTCTTATTGAGGTCCCAAGACATAACGGAAAAAAGATAAAGAGCCTGATCTAGGAGAGGTCATTGAACTACAATGTATGATGAATCCAGAGCCTTGCCAGGTGTCTTATTTGGAAATGTTGGCACTACTATGAAAATAAAAAGGTACCACCAAGAATTAGAGAAAGGAAATTTAGAAAGTTTCAGATGAATCTGATTTACCTTATCCACCAAATTCCAATGGGTCACCCTGCTTCACTGATAAGTGTCATCTTATTTGTCTTGACAACCATGTATGACTCAATCATTAAGTAGGTGCCTGGCAAAACATAGCCTATGTTCCCCCCTCTTGAATCTGGTTGGGCCTGTGACTCTTTTGATCAACCTGTGTTGTATGGTGATGGTGACAATTTGTGACTTTTTAGTCTAGGTCCTAAGAGGCAATGCAGTTTCCATCTAGTTCACTGGAGTACTTGTTCTTAGGTCCCACCACACAAAAACTCACTACTCTGAGACCACTGTG